ACTCCAGGGAATAATTTAGGAAGTAACTAAGAAAAATATTAAGTCCATGACAGGGAGTTACATGATGGAAACATGACACTGTACGATCAGATCCAAAGATAAACAACTATTGTAGAATAATAACGTAATGTGCATTCTACAAACAATAGTATAAATTCTATATAACAAGGATGTTATAACGCACGCCCAATATATGGACAGTACGTGCATGCTTGTGCATGCTGGAGTTCAGCCAAATGAAGAGGAGATCAGTTACGGACTTGGCCTGCATTCACCACCTAATGTTGCATGCGTTTAGCCCTCGCCAACACATAACTAGACTTCCAGACAGGAATGGGCAAACGCAGATTCGGCAAACACCTTATACCAGACACTGATTCGCCGATTCTTCTGCTGCTTCAGGACGTAGCAGCGAGATGTTCGGCTCCTCAGGTGGTCCGCCAGCGTTCTTTGGGCGAAACACGTGTTTAGACTTTTATCTAGTACCTGTGTCGCGAGTATGGTATAACCTTTTTGCCATATAGAGTTTATACTTCTTTTAGTACTACGTGTTTGTATAGTCTGCCTTTCGTGGTTATTCGACAGCAGTTGATTGTCATCGACCAAAATGTTTATTGAAATTTCAGGTTTAAGCCTAAAAGTCATGTCCCGTTCACCCACCTCCATGTCAGGTCAGGTCAATTTTATTAAGGAAAAAATATAGGCAAATACCTTTGAAATACCTCTTGGTACAAAGCAGCTATGAAAGGCAGAACATGTGGCGTTGCCAGTAATGGAACTGCGTAAAAAGGCAGAAAGTAAAAAAAAAACTCCTTAAGCATTGTTCAGAATTCTAGGGGTTTTAATGCCATTTAAGGGGTTTTAAGGAGAAAAACTGTCGCCCGTGGGCGAAGGGGGGGGGTAGAGTACATGCAAATCGGATGGCCTGCTGCTGAGAGTGTTTGAAGCGCCTCAAGAGGAGCCCATCGCGGTTTTTATCAATATCCTAAGGGTCACACGAGGAGAAGACAGCAGAGGTCACGAGAACATCACCAAAGTGTTGAAGATGCGCCCATCATATGCCCTTGCTAGTTACCGGGTCTTCCCGCAACACGGGGTCCCACCACGATCCTCAGCAGCCACGTATAAGTTATTTCCGAAATTATTACCTTGATTAATATCTGTTGGTCATAAAGCAGAAACCGAACAGAGAACACTGGGTGACCCACTGAGGAGCCGAGACCCTCGCTGCTGCGGCATGCAGCAGCAGCTGCAGAAATACGGATTGTACCTCTTCGCGCATGAAACCTCAACCCAGCCCCTGCTCCTGAATACCGCTTGATCAAACATTGTTGTATTGTAGCATTCCATTTCGCTTCTGATTAGAGTTTCTTTTTCTGTTAAAAGGAAAAATATGCGGCTTTCATGCAATTGGAGAGGGCGACAACTTTCCCTTCAACGTCGATTTGGTCAACGCAGCGGCAGGCCTGGGCGAGGTGCGTGTGCGGCCAGACGTCGACTTGAGTTCACTGAAGGAAAGCGAGTTTGTTTTTCACATTGAGGCCTACGACTGTGACAACCCTCCGCATTTTTCCCAGCGGTAAGTTAGCTCCTGCTTTTGCCACATACCTTGAGTTTCTAAAACGTTATTATATGTAATAATAGACCATTATGCTCATTAACCGGCCAGGTAGGTTTCATTTGGGCAGATGTTTTCTGGTGTTACTGACTATCAACTGATTGGGCAGAATAGCATTGCCGACAGAGACAGGGGAGGCTGGAATGGTTATTTCTGGATTATGAGCCATTATCAGTTAGAAGTCCGACATTCTAGTCATTGAGCTACGTGTTCTTTGTCCTATTGGTTGTGATCAGGTTGCAAAAGCTTTGTCGAGAAACCTGGCATTGGGTGTAGTTGGTTGACGACAGCAAATAAGCCAGAAATGGCCATTTTGTGCTCCCTTATCTTCATCGGTACTGTGTGGCTACGGGTGGGACGAGAGAGTAAGTCTCAAGGCAAAACGGAACGATTATGTCCTGTAACGTGATCGGTGAATGTCCCAGTAGTACTATCCTCATTGTTATAAACCCGAGAACTAGCTCTCATCTCAACATTACAAATCTTGTGACGATTCTACCTATCCGTCAGATATTCGGAGCCAGTAAAAAGAGTATCCATTATGCGTACCTTGTCAGACTCGTAACAGCCTATTTCTTATTCACTTCAATGTTTTTAATCAAACAGTTCCCTTTGTACGGCCTTGACACTCGTACACTTCTGCCAATAGTCGTGGAAAGAAAATTGATTTCCATCAAGTCGACCCTGCCTACAACACCGGCTGATCAAATGCATTCCGCCGACAAGATCCTGAGAGGGACACCAGGCACATAAGCTTATCAGACACAAGTTATGCAAATGCTAACCATTTGTCAGTTTGAATTAGAGCTCCGAATCAATCTCATTTTGGTTGTCTACGTTATACGAAACCCGTCCACCCTATGCAGTTTGATTTAAAACATACCTACGCGTCTGCTCCGTACAACTCCCCCGGTGGAAATGATACACTTCCAGATATCTGGCAACCAGATTCTGCGTTAGATATTGTCCATGAGACAGTCTCAAAATGCTGAAAATAGGATGCCTTTCTTGGGCCGATCTTGCGCTCTTCTTGCCGCATCAAAAGGAACATCTGCTGGCAATGGACCATCCGTCGGAGCAGACGGCGGGTCATCTTGGTCATAAAACGTGTGAATACCACTCACCAAAACCACTGGTTTAGCGAGATTCCCGGTGCCAAGACATGCCTGCCTCGTTTCTTCTACCCCCACC